TGGGAATTGTTATAGACAACAAACTATGCAACAATGTGCAATGTCAGTCAGCAGTGGCTAAGGCTAGTAAGGTATTGTCATGTATGAAAAAGGGCATTCATTCTCGGGATAAGAATATCATTTTGCCTCTTTATAAATCACTGGTAAGACCACATATTGAATATGCTGTGCAATTTTGGTCACCTGTTGTAAAGAAGAATATTATGACACTAGAAAAAGTGCAGAGGCGGGCTACAAAATTAATAAAAGGAATGGAACATATCAGTTATGAAGAAAGGTTATCAAATTTAAACCTCTTTAGTTTAGCAAAACATCGCCTGAGAGGGGATCTGATAATATTATACAAATATATTTGGGGCCAATACAAACCATGGTGTGGAAATCTATTCACAAACCAGACTTTACATAGGACACGAGGTCATGCGTTTAGACTGGAAGAATGAAGATTTCGTCCAAGGCAAAGGAAAGGTTTTTTTACTGTTAGAACAATAAGGATGTGGAATTCTCTTCTCTGAAGTGGTTTTATTAGAGTCCATGCAGATGTTCACACAGCTACTAGATGCATACTTGCAAAAACAGAATATTCAAGGATATAATTTTTCAATGTAGGGTAATAACTGCTTGATCCAAGGATAAATCTGACTGCTATTTCCTAGCTTGTTGCAAAATTGTAAATTCTTCAAACTGGGTTTTTTTTGCCTTCTTTTGGATCAACAGCAAAAAAGAAAAGTGAGGAGGGCTGAACTTGACGGACTTAAGTCTCTTTTCAGCTATGTAACTATGTACAAAGTTTCAACAACTCTTCCTTCGCTTAATTTCTTCACTAATACACCCTTTTAGGTCGATCTGCTCTGCCGTTAACCTTCTCCCATCCTGCTGATTTTGCCTGTAAACGGTGGTGTATTGGGCACCCCCCCATCTAAATGTATCTTCCTTTTTAAAACCAACACGCTGACGCTGACAGACACACACCCTCACTAATGCATACACTGACGTACACTCACTGACAGACACACAGTCATTGGCACACACACACTGTTTAACCAACACACACTTTCACTGAAACACACACACACTGACACACACACTCATTCACAGAGAGACACACATACACTCACTGAGAGACACACACACTCACAGACACACATGCACACTCACTGACAGATGCACACTCACTCAGTGTCAGAAACACACCAAATAAGAATCAGACACACCATTAAGAGTCAGACACACACACACTGACAAACACACATACACACTCACGGACACATATACACTCTGTATCAGACACACATTAACTAACAGACACACATACACTAGCTCACAGACACACACACACACACACTGACAGACATACACATTCATTGATAGACACATATACACACTCACTATGACAGACACACAAACATATACAAACTCACTAACCGACACACATACAATTTATTATTTTCTTTTTTTTAAATTACTCCACCCAGCCTTCCTACCTTTTGGAGTGCTGGCATGGAGTCTCCATGTCCCTGTGGTCCAGTGGCGCTGCTGTGCTGAGTGACTGGCCATGCGGTCCCTGGGATCCAGTGGGGCTTCTGCGCGACTGGGCATGCAGTCAATGCAGGCATGTGAGGGAGCTCTGATGTTCCTGCTCAGCTCCTCTCGAGCTCCTCTTAGTGATGACAGAGGGAGCTGAGCAGAAGGAACTCAAGAGAGAGTGCTCCCTCGCCGCCCGCCTACAAACTGAGCAGATGCCAGCCTCTGGGGGAACCCAATGTGGCCAGCCAGCCAGCCAGCTCCTGGGGCCCCCAGGACAACAGGCTGACAAGGCATATCTCAGGGCTTTGAAAGTGCCGCCCAAGGCAAATGCCTTGTCAGCCTTGCTCTAAATACACGGCTGCCTGAACTTCTAACTTACATTTACAGGCAAATCCCAGGTTGAAATACAGAAATCTATCACTTGTTCTCTCAACTTACAATTCACTTTTAATCTTACCTTCAAATCCTGGTGTGGCTTTTAAGATTATATGATTTACAGTTTATGAAAAATGAAAAAACTAATCTGTTAAAAGAGTTTGTTACCCCATTCTATTAATAGACTCCCTAGTGATATATATTATTGGTTTGTAGAGAAATGCATGGATTAATAAAGGCTTCCTCAGTAGGGCTGGGATTATTCGGAAAGGCTAACCTTCAGATTTTCCTTGGTTCTTACATCGATGCCTGACACCATCCTGCAGTGAGTCCAATGTTTTGACGTTTTTGGTTTTTTTTTTTTTTTCAAGGGAGACAAATTAGGAAAACAAAATGGAGCAGACTGTTTTTACAAAGCCCCTGGGTGCCTGTAGTCCAGTATGCTCCTAATTGTATGATTCCTGCCTTTATTATTATTACTGGCCTTTATAAAGCACCAATGAATTCTGCAGCGCAGTACTACTTGGGAAACTGACAGTACAACATAAACAGAATACAAAAGGTGAACTGGGCCCTGCCTGTTAGATTCAGTATGTTTTATCTAAAACAGAAATTTCCTTTCCACAATAGATATGAGTTCTGTCCGTATAAAGAAATAATTAACATCATTAAGGAATAAACAGGGACTTCAACAATAGCGCTCTCAAAAGATGATGGCGAACTTGAGGCACCCGGTGAAGCAGGTAATTGCAAATACATTTGAAAGTGGTTTGATCACATACCATGGAACAGTGCCAGGTCACACTGGCCCATAAGTTAGAAAAAACAATGAAGAACTTGATGAGTTTCAGCCCCTGAGATTGTGGACACTATGATGATCTATTTTGGACAAGTACCATGTAGAAATCTACTTTGGTTACAGGTAGTTGGAACTAGAGTGTTTTGAGTAATGGTTTAGGAAATTCTGCTATACAAAAGGTACCAAATGTGGGGCAAGGAAGCTAGTCAGTAGCTGTTTTTATGCAACAGTTTCTACATGGGCAATTTGGTCTACGTGGTGGACCATTTATTTCATGCCCCCATCATACCTGCTGATTGTAACTTCTCTGAAATTCTTTCAGGTGGATTAACATGAATAACTCCAAAGATATAAAAGACTTGAATACAGATAAAACGGACATAACCATGCCAAAAGTCTGTAGCACAGAGGTAAGCCAGAAGATATAAAGCAAAAAGTGTCAGACAGGTGAATGACAATAAGCATTTCGATCATATGCTAATAGAACTTGGTGCAGTTCTCCTCAATTCCCTGTTACTATAGCAACAGCATATCTGTCATAGAGATGCTCTGTGAAAAACTGCATCCAATGTTCTTCTATTCAGCACTGTTAGGCTTTGATAAGTTGATTTTTAAAGTACCCAATTTAATTCTAGAGAAATAACCTGTTTGTGTCCAAATGATTTTCTAGCTAGTAAATTGACCTTGTAGTAAAGGGTAGTGAAACAAAGCTCAACTGGGCCTGCACCTCAATGGGTAATACATTAGGTAGAGTATATTGCAGATTTTAAAGGAACACACCAAGCATCACAGACACTAGAGCACACTGTAGTGGTTATGGTGTCAGGAGTGCACTGGAACTCTCAAATGTAAGTATTCAAGCCATTCACTAATTTTTTAAATTAATTATTTTTTATAAATCTGGGGACCACTTGGAGCTGTCCACTTTCTCTATAGAGAGCTGAAAATGCCTAAATGGAGCATCTGTTAGTTGATCTAAACCCAGCCTTGAATGACCAGCTCATTGGCTGATCTCTCTCTGTCAAAGCTAACCCCTGCACCGCCAGTTAGGTTTAAAGTATTAATCATACCTGTGTAGTTTTATTTTATGCTGTTGTTGCACATAGCATGAAAGATTAAAAGTTCCTAGAATTTGCAGGTTTAATTTGAAATTTCCCAGATAATGGTACATTTTTCATCTGCTGCAATATGAAATAGAATTTGAAGAAGGGACGATAAATAGCTGTTTGCGTAAGAGAATATTTCAGGATGTTAACATGAAATATCAGTTTGCAGCAGCGACCAGTATGTTGCATTCTCATGGACCGTCTTGTTTATTTTCCACTGTCTGACTAGCCTACTCATTTCCTTTCTCTAAAAACACATCACCAGGCTACATCGTGTGAGAAAGGAAGAGTACTAATCTCTGCTATTACTGCTTTATTTTGCCTGCAAACTTTAACTTTTGCAATGCTGAAAGGAAAAAACGATATGGGATAAACATAGAAACTAAAATACTTGTTTATTCGGTGTCAAACAAATCACGATTTGTCCAAATTTTGGGCGATCAGCAATTTTCTAAATTCCGCATTGCCATAAAGACGTTTTGTGAAACAAACAAAAAGGACAGTGGACGAGCAGTTGTCACGGTTCACTACAACCCAGCACGAAGAACTTAGGCTATATTAGAGTAGCCGGACCCAACACCAAATAGAGTTTAACAAATAAGCCATGGTCAGGGTTTCAGAGATTAAGGTTCAGGGAGACAGAGAGCAACGTATTCGAGTAAACTAGTCCAGTGTCAAAAAGCCCTCTCTCTTGGATCACCACAACTGGAAAACCCCAACAGGACACAGGGTAAGTGAATAATAGGCTTATATAGAGAGAACATCAGGAGGGAACAATCTGCCAAGAGGCACAGACAGAGGAAGAGAGAAGAACATCGCTGGATCTGGAGAAATAGTAATGTGATGCACTGGAAAATAAGATTATCGGGGTGCAAATAAACAGCAAGAGGTCTGCCCAATGAAGTGGGCTATATGTCCTGCGCAATCAAGAGATGGAAAAATATGATTGACGATAAAAGAAGATGGATTTGAGGGGGCAGTTGCTAAATGTTGATTTTATTCACAGATCAAGTGAGAAGTGACGAATGGAGGGTAAAAAAACAGGAGCAGTAGAAATCTATATATTTCCATTCTTTGACTGGAGCTATTGAGGTAGACAGCCCAGCAGTAGAGATGTCGCGAACCGTCCGCGAACTTTTCGCGAACGGTTCGCCACGGTTCGCCACGAGCTGTTCGCGGCGAACTCCAGTCAGCTGACACGTCCGGCCAATCTCCAGCAGACCCTCCCTCCCAGACCCTCCTACTTCCTGGACAGCATCCATGTTTCAACACCTTGCAAGTTCAACATGGATGCTGTCCAGGAAGTAGGAGGGTCTGGGAGGGAGGGTCTGCTGGAGATTGGCCGGTACGTGTCAGCTGACCGGAGTTCGCGGCAACTGCGGCGAACCGTTCGCGAGAAGTTCGCGGACGGTTCGCAACATCTCTACCCAGCAGAAATTGTGTGCATTACCATTGTTGTCTGTGTGGGAGTGGGAGGTAGCCTTTGTCATTGATCCTAGTGTGAGACTGCTGAGATGGCTAGGTTACTGCTGTGCCTAGATATCACTAGTGCCACTTACACCAACTTTGATTCACTGATTTAAAATTATTTTACCAATTTGTAATTTCTTTTCACCATTGTTTAAAATCCCCTTTTTTCAAATGAAATAGACAGATAAATGTTAATAATTATGTAGCATCTTTCGATTCTAATGGAACCTGGTGCTGCTGTTACTCATTTTTTTCTCATTAATTTAGTATATATATATATATATATATATATTATTTTATTTTAAAACAATTTTAGAACTAAGATCTTTTCATATATTTTTAATGCAGAGATTATAATAAAATTATGACAATTCACAATTGGCATTGCAAAAATGCCTGATTTGGCATATCCAGACAATAATTTAGTTTTTGCATTGAAGTACATTAGTAGGCACCTTTTCACCTTTTGGTTTGTCTAAATAATATTTTCCAAAACATTCATATGGACAAAATTCAATTCGGTTCATCTGAATTTTTTTCTAACAAACTGATTTGAATGAACCAGGTTTCTTTTTACATTTTTTTTTTTTTTTATGTATTCATTTATTCAAAACTAACACCTTGCAAGTTCATTCACTAACATTGATTCTAGAGGCACCAATTTTGTCATGGCAATTTAGGCTCAATGTAATTTTTTTTTTTTTACTCAGTTGTGCTTCTGTCATTCTGGCCTCGATCAATCCTAAAATGACATGATTTGAGACCATTGTGCCTTTTATATATTTTAGTTGGTGTCTCTTTGAACTCACTGTGCTTGTGCAAATATAACACAAAAGCCTGATTCAATATAAACTCCTTTGGTCTTATGACTAGTTCTCCTTCTTGGTTTCTGACCTCTATTTATGTTTTGTTCCTGACACCAAAAATTTGGTTTTGACCTGTCTTGGAGCCAGGGTAAGAAACAAAAATTAAATAAAGAATAATCTAAGAAACAATCAATAAAATTTATCAAATGGTAATACCAAATGTACTGGTAAGGAGCACTTATCTAGGAAGTGCTATAAATGAGGGCTGTTCATGGTGGTAGGTCATTGGATGCTTGAGCCACTGTGATCGTCACAAATTTTGGTCTACAGACCATGGTGGACGATGCACTGCTGGTATGGATCCTGCCATTAGCTCCAACTCCTGGAGCATTGAGGGTACCTCTGAGAGGTGAGTGACAGGAAAGTCTTGCCACCTTTCTCCACCAAAAGCCATTTTGTGCCCCACTTACAGGGTACTTTGTGTTCCCTGAGAAGTTGGGTGACCTTCCGAAATGACTGTCTCCATAGAGTGGCAAGAAATGTCCCTATAGAAAGTGAGTTGACAGTCTTCAAAATCTGTGAAAGTGTTGCCTTTGGTCGCTCCCATAATAATGCCCCATCAGAGTCCCACACAAACATTAGGAGGACCTCTCTAGAAGCCACTTGCGGTGCCCTTGGGGGTGCTTTGGTAAGTGTAGACAATAGTCCAGGGTGACCAATTTTGCCTGTGTCAGTGGCATCAAGGTAGCTAGTAGTCACCTGAGAAAGTGAGGTAGGTCTTCAGCACTGTCTCAGGGACCTCCTGTAGCCTCACAGTCTTTGCTCTGGTCCTATCCTCCAGGATGGCCATGTGGTTGAGCTGGTTAGCATTACCTTTCTGCAGGAAGTTAAGGACCGCATCTGTAGCCACCTGTACCACTCTCGTTGCACTACAATTTAGCTGGTAAGTGTGGCCACCTCCTCCCTCGCCACTGCCATGTCTGCCTGGAACATTGCCCTGATTTCTTGTGACAGGGAGTTAATGTCTGCCTTGGTGGAGGGGGCAGTAATCCCTGCTGTATAGGTACCTGGTGAGGGTGTCAGCATCTGTGGAAATGCAGATGGGTTCTCAGGAAGGCTTTCCTCATCTAAGGAAGCTGTAGTATAGGCCTCTTGCAGCACCATTTTTGCCTTCTCAGGCCTAGCATGCTGGCTTATCAATGTCCCGGTATCTCGGGATCCAGAGTCTGGAACAGGTGATTCTTTGCTTTCTTCCCAATCGGTATCGGAAAGTTAAGCACACCAAGTTCGGGGTGTCTGTGGGTTGCAAGACGCCCCAAAAAACTTGTAAAAAAACAACAACAAAAATATTGCTGTAATCAGTTATTGGTATCAGAGCTCACACGGCTTGCGTCCAACTCTTTCTAAATCTATGTTTTACTAATATTTATTTACAGGTATGCTTCTAAATGTGTTCACTTTGTTCACAGTGAGGTGTTTTGGATTGGACACTGTCCAGCATGAAAAAGGTAAAAAAAGTTTTGTAAAAAAAGAAGGGGGTGCCATGGATCACCTTAGAACTTAAACAAGAGTTAGAATTTTAAATACTTAGGAAAAATAATATATGGCAGCATGTAACAAAAGAAGACTTCACTTACCTATAGAGTCTTTCAAATGGCTTTTCTCTTATATATTATTAAAAAAAATGTTGAAAAATAGAATAGGGTTCCTAGTGTACCGTGAAGGGAAGAATTAACCATTCTCCAACCCCTTCATATAACCCCTAGGTGGTAGTTTACAGGATAATTAAGTAATAAGTGGTCCCTAGTACTTCTACTACAATGATAAACAAACCAGGGATGCCCAGTCCCTTGGTGCTATAAGCTTGTCCCCTGGTCCAAAATACTCAAATCTGCTTCTTTAGCGCCATTTACCATTCAAGCTGAAATGCTGCACATACTGACTCTTACCACCATGACCACTTCAGATCACTAAAGTGGTCATGTTGATTGGAGTAACCTTTGATGACAATGGTTTATCCTAATGAAATGTAAAACAATATAAAAATAAGTATTTATATGGCAAGCTACTGAGTTTCTCTAAGCTTTTGCTTAATTTCAGAGTTCTCATATTCTCTGTTTTTTGTTGCAATGTATTTGCGTGGGCTCTCCCTAGGCTAATAGGGTTATCCAGACACAGACACCATGCTGACTGTCCCTAGAAAGGTATCAGCTACACCTTGCTGACGAGGCCCAAAGAAGGCCAAAACAATCATCCAGCAATCGGGTAGCTGTATACCTCATGCAGAGAGGACTTGCTGGCATTTTGCTTCTTAACTGTCCTTATGGGTGGGGTCAGTCTGATATGCAAATGGTTCTCTTTGTAATGACACAAGTTAGCAAAAACATTTTTGAGACCTGAGCCGATACTAACTGGAGGACAAGCTACTGAATTTCCCTCAGATTTTGTCTATTCTCAGAGTTCTCATATACTGTTTTTGATGCAACTATTCATACTTACCTGTGGAAGTCTTCCCTAAGTATTATTTTTCTTCTCTCTTCCTATTAAACTATACATAAATGGGCAAAATAAAAACCATCATAACCCATAGCAACAGCTTGTAGGACCACTTACAAAATCTTTTTGCGGGTCCACTGGCATAAAGTTGCAAACATGAACACAGACACAAACTTGCAAACACACATTCCCCTGATCCAACAATATATTGAATAAAAATTGCACTTTTCATGGGGACAGTAGGATCCTACTGGTATTCCGTAGGGTGGTCACCTGTGCTGCCTTTTGGTAGCGCCAGCCCTAAATAAGAGTTAAGTGTGCCTATTGGAGGCACAGAATTCTCACTCTCAAAAATCCTTTAAACTAGTCTGACAGTCAATAGAAATCTTCCTAAATGACCTAGACTCGTTTATACTGTCTCCTAGGCTTGTGGCCACAGTGACACTCTAGGTGCCCATCTGTAATGTTATTAATTTTACAAGTGTTTCATTGGGCATTTGCCACCCAAGTCACCCTTCCTCCTTTCAGTTTTCCAAATCAGCAATTTAAATGAATACAAGGTGAGAAACCAAAAGACAGACAAATATAAATTCTTCTTTTCAGTGTACAAAGAGGTGAATAAATCAATGAGTGTTAAGTACAATATAAATGTCTTTTTATTCTGATGAATTACATGTGATGCCAACTGTAGTCCATTAAATTACATTTCTCGAGTTTCCAGAATTAGAAAGTGACGAAATTGTGATCCTATGTAAACCAAATGTTCCATTACCAGACATCCAGGAAATGCATGGTATAATGAGATTAACCAGCGTACGTTATGTGGGAATCAGCCAGATCAAGAGAATACAGCCAACCTTCAGTATGGCAAAAGATCACCAACAGAAATAAAATAGGTTATTTCTGTTTTTCATATATTCTCATAACCTGCCTGTGTGGACATGATGCTTTATCAAGCCTGACGAAGAAGGAAGATACAGGAGTGGAGGAAACATTAAATAAAAACAAGAAGAGGAGCATTAGAAGTAAGAATAATTTACCTTTTTACAATACGGTTTTGTACATATCTACACGAAATAGATAAACATACATGTATTTTTTTTTACTGGCAGCACATTAACATGTTTTTTCACTAAAATGAATTTCCAATTTTAGGCCAAATTAGTTGAAATTATTACATTGCTGACTTTGAGAATGTTTCCAGTTCTGTTGTTTTTAATTTGAATTTGAAATTCACTTGGAATTCACTTTAGTAAATAATCCTGTATATGTTTAACTTTATGTTCTGACAGTGTGAATGCGTAAGTGTATGAGAAATTGAACCTAAGTGTCTGGGGGATGAGAGTGAATGAGGTTTGAGTGGCATGCGAGGGAGTAGGTAAACTGGCACAGAAGACTGGGGAGGAGAGAAGACTGTAATAATGAAAAAGACAGTTTTTCTTAACAAAAGGAGATCTCTCTTAAAGACGTATTGCCATCCAAACCTTATGTCAAATTTATTATAATTTTAAAATAAACTTGTCATAAGGCAAAGTTTTTTGCTGTAACCGTCAGGTGTGGAGTTGTCTTAAATATCCCTATGGATAAGCCTTCATTGAGAATATATAATAATTGTATTAAGTAATATATAATGTAATTAATGCATAAGTTAATATATATTTTAAAATACAGATATAAGATCAATTCACAGAGCTGGTTAGTAGGAGGCATAGTAAAGTTCATTATTATGTATGTTAAAGGGACACTCCACTCCCCTAATATAAAATAAATAAAAATCACTATTTAGTAGATATATCCCAAATGAAAACTTGCATGAATTTAATTATGCATTGTTTCATTGGGGTTATATCTAAAACCAGTTTGAAAAAACTGCAGATTTCTTGTCTGCTGCCCTTGCAAGCCCTCCTCTTCTAACCACACCCAAACTTTCTGTTGCTGTCCAATCACAGACTTCCCAATGCAGCTCAATAAGAAGTCTTTGCAAGGCAGGGGCTCTAAGCAATTACTGCCTCTTGAATTCAGTGCAAGTAAGCTAACCAAACCTGGAAGTAACAGGACCTGTTGTCTGCTTGAAAAGCCAGGAGGGTGAAACCATTATAATTTTCTAAAGTGTCAATTTCTATTGAAATCTGCACTTTTTTCAGGGTGAAACCAGTATAATTTAAAAAAAAGTGTCAATTTTTATTGAAATCTGCACTTTTTCCAAAATGAAATATTAGGACAAACTCTTCACACATAAAGTTTTTCAGCAAGCTTAAGTGCTTTAGGGGTCTGAAGTGGCCCTTTAACAAGTAAAACCTTAAAATAACACTGAACATTTAAACGCTTAATGAATTGAAATAGGTTTGGCATCACCAATTAACTATATGTGCTATTTTCTTTTTGTGCAATTTAGTGAATTATGTTCCAAATTTTAAATTGCATAACAATAATGACAATAGGGATTTAAAAAAAAAAAAAAATAGAATGGACTTATAAGTGTATTATTATTATTATTATTGCCATTTATAGCTCCTAATAAAACAATCTATGAAACTGCAATCCAGTTCTGAAATTTATTTTAAACAAAAACAGAAAGCCTTTCAAACACAAGCGATAATTTTGCAGTTGTTTAAAAGGCAGACAAACAGATCTAACAAAAAAAAAAAAAAAGGCAATTCTGAGAAGTACAAGGTCAAGAGGAGAAATTTAATTAGAAATAACTATATTTCAACATCATACTCTGTAAACATTTTCAAGAGCACCATTCAATAAAATAAATACTAATGACCAAATATACTGTGTATACACAGACACACACAAACATTCACACATTTTTTTTTCTATGTTGAATCCTGAACTAGTTTAAGATAAATAGAAGTATCTTATTCTAGCAGCTGCACATTGACAAGGATGTGGACTGTGGATATACTGTGTGTACTCCCTGTCTTTCGATTGGATTATTTCCATGTAGGGAGGTGAGCTACAGACCTTGGGAAAAATCCTGCCCTCTATGCACAGACAACATCTATCAGCCTGCACTGAGCTGGAACATGGAACTTAGGAGCTCGGCTACAAAGGATACGCTCAAAGGACACCGCAGCAGGCATTGTGAATTCCATCATTCTACGCAGTTTACTGCTGCAAAAATAACACCTATGGGAAGATATATTAAACCAGAAAATATTCTGCACTGAAAAATGACCTCTAAATAGACTCACGCAGAGATTTTCTCATATTTGGGAAATGTGTGCCTCTTACACTGCTTAATGGTCACTAAATCTTCCCTTTAACAAGAAGTATATGCCAAGTGATGATAAAAGGGGCACTTTATGGAACAGGTTGTGAAGATTCGATTTGAACAGATATTAAGTTCTCGTCAGTAATGAAGAAAGCCTTCTGGAAGAATGGGCTCATGGAGAATCTCTGATCACAAACTAGTTTAAATTCTCACTGATGCTAAGGACATAGAGACATCCTCAGCAGGGAAAATATAGCGTCCGTCTCGTCTGTGAGAACTGAGTGAGTTTAATTGGGTTTTAACTGATATTCTTTGCTCTAAGTCGTTCTGTATGTTCTTCTCCCATGGGGACAATTTTAAAGGCAAAGGGGATATCAGTCGTTATTATATGGATGAATAGAATGACTATCAAGAGACAAGGATAGACTAGCGTCGATGTAATTTTTCTCAGAATCTCATCAGATCAAGGTAAGATGAAGTTTGTGTGTGAATGCGCTTACCGTGCATGTTAACAATGTAACAATATGCAGACAGGCACTTGTAGAATTGCAGTTAACTTCAACACACAGCTGGGTTTCCTCAATGTCATAAATTAGCTTAAAACATATACATTAAAACACAGAATGTAAAAAGAATACTCCTATGTGCAGCAATGGAATAGTATGGGTTTACAAACATACTTGGTTTACACATATGGTGCTGCAAAGGACAATATTGCATTACAGTAAATGATCTACCTGATCACTTGAGCAGATCGTCGTTTAACGTTTGGAGTGCCAGGACAGATATGATTAGAAAATGGGCAGGTACATTTTGAGATATTTTCTTTCTCTTATTTAACGGTGTATTCTTGAGGATTGTGTACGATTTATTACAGGAAAACAATATATTGCTTTTCAGAGGACAGAATTTTTTTTGATGCGTTACCTATATACAACATGATTTGATGTGAATTAAAAATGTTGTTTTGTCAGTCTTGCCTCCATGAATTATAACACAATAGGTGCATCTAAAGGCAAACCTTTGCTAAACCTAACACACTAACCCTAGGTTTACAATTACAGTTCTTTATATAATGCCAACACATTCTGAGCTAAATGAAACACCAACCCTACTACTAAGCCTAGGGCAGAGCTAGGTAATCTCATGCTTGCTGCCTTGCCAGCATTATGGCTGTAAGAGCATTAATGGAGATGTCCACAACATCTGGAATATGGATGGCTGTCAACCCCTGCTCTATGGGTAGATTTACCTAATCCTAACACCACAGTAGGATTATGGTCACTATTTATTGAACGGATGGGAGGAAGTGGAGTCTAAAGTGATGTTGGTGCCCTGGTAATTATTGAAGCACCAACATCACAATAACCATAGCGATGCTCCCCGCAATGCTATGGAGGACACCTTTCATGGCCTGCTTTGTGTAACCTTGGGAACATCTTGTATTTTATATGGGTCCCCCCACGGCTAAAAGCAGTAGCATGGACATGATTTGCAATGATCAATCTTTCACTAAAGTGAAAATTCCCTGACATTCTGAATTTCAGTCCACAATAGCCAAGTCAGCTCTGCGTCCAGTTTAGCTACTTTGGAATAAAATCTGAAATTACTTTTAATTCACACTTTGGGGACTGTGTGCTCTACAGCCAACTAGAGTCATAGGGCAGCAAGTGACGGTTGGGGGGCAACCTTGAAGTTAAGGGAAGGTCTTCCATACATGCAGGGGATTTTTAATCCTGTATTGCAAGGCAACATGTATGCTATGAGGTTGACTTTTAAAGCCTACATTATTAGCCAATAGCCACGTAAAGGATATGTGGTCACTACTCAAAGGGTCAAACACCTTATTGAACAACGTGATATCACACTCAAACTTACTCAACCCAACCCCCAACTGGAGTCAGCTACAACTTACTTGCTTTAATTTTCATAGAGGAGAGCAAGCAAAGGAGGAGGTATGTTGCCCTGGTAACAGGCTCCTCCTTCACCTGGGATCTGTTGTGAAACACCAGACTAGAAGGGTCTGTGAGTATGAGTGTGTGAATGAGTAAGTGGGAGTGGGTGAATGAGTGAGTGGGAGTGTGTGTGTGGAGGAGAGGAATGTAAGAGAGATTTAGATCTATAGTTGGCTTAGTGTTTTAAGAGTTGCATGGCTGAGCAGCTTTGGAACCATAAATAATTAAATTTTAGTTTTTAAAATATCTAACTATGTAAAAAAATAAATTAAAAAAATTAATGTGATATAAAACATACAAAGGGGGTGAAATGTGTGTTATTGGTAAATAATGCCATTTTGGGATTTTGAGAACATCCATAAAACATGCAGCCTTTGCTTGTATTCTATATAGTTATAAGAACCCCTCAATTTCATTATATTCCCTTATGTTAATGTATTCTCCATGTTATGTTCCTAGCAATGCAACAACATGTGTCCTCATGGGAGTAAGAAAAATATATCTATTCTGTGACAGCATATAAAATAATAGGATAGCACAATTAACCCCATAATAGAGCACATAATTATATCATTATTATTACAACAACATGCCGATCAAGTTAACAAATTACAATAAACACAGAGCATATTGGTGTCAATAAGTGTGCAGCTTTTTCCAGTGACAATATAAATATATGACAAAATGATGTATAAGTACTACTATGAAAGACATGAAATAATGTAACACTATTACTATCAAAGAAAAGAAATAGAGAAAATAAAACTGAATAAATTGTAACATCATACAATAGTGACAGCCAGTGCAGTAAAACATAAAAGCAATATAAGGTGTAAAACACAAAACTAACGTGTATTAATATGACAGTAATAGCAATATACATACAAGCATGTGACAGTGTGAACAATGGAATAAGAACAGTAGAGAAGATGCACAGTTTACTCTTTCACAAATATATTCACTTGCAAACTTTGTTGTGTTTGTTTGCGACATGTTTTGTCACATCAAAATAGATGCAACGCTAAACTCGAATCCCAACCTTATCCAAAATTTATAATCCTAATTTTAACTCTACTTTTGTCTCTAAACTGGATTTACATGCCAAATGCCTGTGGACATAGAATTCCCAGTGCCCCTGTGTAACCTCGTCCCTCAAAAAATTTAAACAAAATTCAGGTAGCGTAAATTTAATGCAGTTAAATACTGGATATTGTATACATAAAACATCTGGAAAATAAATCCATATTTTTAAACTGCAGATGTATTCACTTTTGTGTCTTTCGTGCTTGTAGAGCGTTGTTGTTGTGTGTAGTATGAGTATATGTGCATTTGTGTGAGTGAAAATGTATGTGTCTAGATTTCTGTATTGTTGGGTATATTGTTTTTGTTGTTATTGTATTGTTGGGTATATTGTTGTGTAGTTGGTGTTTGCATGTATGTGTTTCTGGGTAGCACGACTGTATGTGCGTGGGGTGCAGCATGAAGAAGTACCAGTAAGGGGTTTAACGTATAAGTATTCCTGTCAGAGATTTTTACCCTGGATTTCTTTCCTTTTTCACTCAATGGCTTATGTTATTTTTCTGTTTTAAGTACTTCATAATAAAGTAATCAAATTTAATGTGATCTTGGGTTTGCCTGAATATTTTCCATTTTATGACCTGATTTGTAGGGATAGAAAAGTGTTAAAGTCGGTGTTAAATTAAATCATGTGTCTAGTTTTTTTTTAAGGATTATGGGTTTAGGGTTAGATTTAACATTTAGTATTAGGGAACAGATGCGTTTATGGTTTAACAGGGGTCAGACTTCTTAAACTTCTAATTTCAGCAGGAATGGAGCTCACAGACAAAACTATCCCCCATACTTGACCATTTCACAGTGCCTCTGTTCGTGTCCACTTAACCTAGGAAACCTAGGTTGCACTGTGTTAAATAAAGACTGACATACATAAACTCCTACGTCTGTCATCAATATTAATAAAGATTAAAATTAAGAATGACATACATAAGTTCCTATGTATGTCATCAATATAAAGGATACAAATTAATCCACTAAACTGGGAAATGTAAGTAATTGATAGTAGTGTTGACATTTGAATGCAGGGGTGTGTTGTGTGTAGTGTTGGAATGTGAATGCTGTGGTGCATGCACATATACCCACGCATTGCCACACACACAGACATTTAAATATATATTACGCACAGACACACAATCATATCAAGTAATAATTTCTGTATTTTTAGCCACCATCTTGGTTCCATAATGTTTGGGTGCTGGCTTCCCTGTAGTGCAGTGGGACCATGCTGCAGCAATTGTTGTCTGAGGCTGGTTCTCCAGGATCTCTCAGCCTGCACTCCCCCCTACTCCTCCATTCTCTTGTGCCCCCTTAGCAGATCTCTGTAAACTCGGAGGAAGTGACCTCCTATTTCCTCCAACAATGCAGCCCAAACTGCCAATCTGAAAATGGCCAAGTCATGCTATTAAAGTGCCCAACTGGCCCCTGATCAGAGATGCCCATCGGGTTGAGAGAACCATCTGATGGGCTCCTCTAGCTTGCCATTTCCACCACTGGACTTACAGATAGGGATATGCACTAATCTAATAATTGTCTGGAAAATGACCAGGGAACAATTGAGTTTAAAATTGTCAAACTTGAAACATAAACCGATTTAAAGAATTTTAAGATTTTGGCTATTTTAACCTAAAATCTTAATTTCCTAGTTTAGTTCCCAATGACTCTTAGTTTGTGAATAACACAGATAGCATAAAACTAAGTTTTGCTATGTAACAATCTATTCTATCATTGTAGGTTTAGTGAAGCTTTTTTTGTGTAGGCTCTATCTTTTTTATGAGAGAACCTGTGCAGTAGAAATACAAACATGGTGTTTTCTAACTCGCTGGATAACTTCATTAATGTTTTTTTCAATGATTAAATGACTTGTAATTGATTCACTACTTATTCAATAAAAATCTTGTTGGGCATTGAACGTGAACAGTACTTCCCATGAAAATAGTATAAAGGCCATGCGTAAACACATTCTCTTCTACATTAGGGTCTTTCGCTAACTGTATTCTGAATATATAGATTGCTATTGCTATTGTTAAATGTAAAAAAAAAAAACCATTAATGTTACATGGAAGTAATAGATATTGAACAGGAAGATGTTATAATTTATCTTTTTTTTAAGCTTGTTTTATGGATGAACATATGCTTTTTATGTTATGCAGGTAGAAGTCATGATGAAGACTATTTCTAGTGGGAGCTGTACACTCAGTGTCCCGTCCAAAAACTCCTATCGCATGGTTGTGCTTGGAGCCTCCAGAGTGGGTAAAAGTTCAATTGTGTCACGTTTCTTGAATGGGCGATTTGAAGATCAGTACACACCAACCATCGAGGATTTCCACAGAAAGCTCTATAATATAAAAGGAGAAATGTACCAGCTGGACATCCTAGATACTTCGGGGAACCATCCCTTCCCAGCTACAAGAAGGTTGTCAATATTGACGGGTAAGATTATGGACTAATTTATGGCCTTCAAAGCACATTCCCAGTGTTGCAGAAATTAATACTGTGTTACACTGTGAGATATTATATTTAGAGATCTGCAAACTAAAACATTAGGGGATATTTATCAAAGTGTTCTATAATGTGATGGTTAAAGTATGTTATTATTTTGATTATATATATTAAAGTGTTCTACAATATGATCTAAAAAGAGAGGGTATAGTTTATTGCAAAATCTTCTGTATCCACTCCAGAAGACCACCAAATCTAGAGTGGTGGAAAGCAAGAGAAGTGAAAGACAAAAAAAAAGTAGTGGAAAAAAAAAAGAAATAATGGTTAACGTACAAAAAAAGCCACGGATGAAAGAATTGCTCCAAAAATTTGCAGAAAATGAGATGTCAAATTGTTAGCAACTGATAAATCTCCCTTTCTATGTTCTTTAATGGAAGAACATTTTATAGTGAAAGGCAATGCTCCAAAGCTGGAGTATTTTGTATCACAAATAAATAGTATAATTCAAAGTTATTTCAATCTACAAAGAAAGTTGTATTTCACTAGAATAAAAAAATGCAGTCACAATAATACATTCAGGGTCATTTTTATGTCTATTTAGCTTAGAAAACAACACCAATACTCCGTTCTTTACGGTTAACCTAGTTCACCCAAGTGTTTTTATTTAACACTTTTCACCTTACAATAAGGTATAACTTTGTTCACAGTATGTCACATCATGTGAACTATATTAAATTGGAAATTATGGCCTTCTAAAAATTAGCTAAACTTAGATACAGACTATACTAAATAGCAACATGTTTTATATTTGATGTCAAATGTTATTAATAGTAAAATCTAAAAGTCATAACAGAATTCCTTTTAGAATTAATTTTGGATCCCATTCTATGATAGATAAATTACTACCTGAAAGAAACGGCTCAAAAAGAAATTTATCTAATTTTCCTTAGTGTATGTTCTTCTGCAAACTTTTTTTTTTTTTTTTAATATATTTTTTTATTATTTTCGGTGCATGCCATTGAACATGTATGCCAAGTATGTAGCGTAAAACAAGGAGACACACAGGTCTCGGGTAGAAATGGCAAAAAGAAAGCAATGGTTCAGTACAGTGTGGGCTCGCAGGCCCCTGTTTCAGTGGAAAGCTTTTTTGGCTCGCAGGCCTCAGTCATGGCCCCTACCAGGAATGGGGGCAATCAAAACTATCGCTGGAGTCAGACCTCCTAACTATCAAGCACATGACTCCTTCTTTCCCCGAATAACCTAGCGTAGCCGCTCTTTTAACTCTTGTAGAAAAAGTGTTTCTCATATAATTCTTCTAACGAATGCCCAAAAACCAAGTGTGTCCATGTATATTTTTATGCGTCTCATGGTAAAGAAGGCATTGGGTTTGATTGTGCACATTGTCAATTCGAATTGATGTAAGCTATCGTGAGACCCGCTAGTCTCTTGCTTGTGTTCGTATTGGCGGCTTGTGGGCCCATGGTAGGTAGCAATCTTTCGAGTAAGGTATGGGGGCATCGGATGTTGTGTGTTATGTCCGATGGGTTGTGTTCTGCCCACGTGTCGTAGGTCAGTTATCTGTCTTCAGGAGTCAGTGTGTGGATATGGCCCTGCTGACGGCAGTGGCGTGCCTTTGTATTTTTTTTGTTTTTCCCCATATCCCTGCGTGTCCCAGTTCTGGTTCTGATAGGCTATGTGGGTTCGGGTTCAGTGGTGCTGTTCCCTGTACCTCCCATTGGTGGTATTCCGTTGGGCTTGTGTATTCGTGTGCCTTGTTCTTGTCTGCTGATGTGTAGTGTTGGGGGGGGGGGATTTAGGGTTAAGGGGTGTCTGGGGAGGGGGGGGTGCGTCTCTGTCTGGGTCGCGTCTGTCCAGTTCGTCTTCTATTTTGTCGAGCTATGCGGCCTCGCCTCCTCGTCGTCTACGTGTCGTATTTGAGTCTATTTGTGAATTTTGCCTTAGTTGTGGTCAGTATCCAGTGGGTCCAGATTCCCGAGTACCTGTCTGGGGGATTGGATGTGTTCATGATGAGTTCCTCCATGGTTCTTAGTTCCTCCATTTGGGTGAACCAAGTTGTCAACTGGGGCGTTATTGTTTTGCATCCAGAATTGAGGGATCACTTGTTTGGCTACATTTAAGATTCTGATGGTGAGTGAGTGTTTATATTGGGATCTAGGCGACTTTGTATGGTGTAGGAGCATGTTTTCAGGGAGGAAGGGAGGTGGCGCGTCAGAGAAAGTTTTGAGAAAGCCATGTATGCCCCGCCAGAAGGGCTGTATGGCCTCGCACTCCCACCATAAGTGGAGCACGGTGCCGGCTTCCTTATTGCACCTCCAGCAGAGGTCCGTGTGTTCCGGGTCTATGGCATGGAATACGGCGGGGGTGCGATACCAGTTTGTCAGCAGTTTAAACGCCGTATCCTGCTTCCTGCTTCCTGCTGAAGACTGAGCAGTGATGCGTTAAGTAGCATATCTTCTCCCATTCTCCATCCTTGAAAGTTCTCCCCAGTGTTTGTTCCCATCTCCCCATGAATTTGGGTTTCTCCGTTGGAGTTTCCCTTTGTAGCATGGAGTAAATGAGTGAGATCCCGTGCAGTTGTGGGTCTGGTCCATACACAGTCTTTCAAATGTGGTGGGGTCCCGTTCCCGTGCTATGCCCCCCAGGAGAGTATGGACATAACTCTGTAGCTGTCTGTATTTGAGGTGTTGTAATAGGGTGGGGGTTGAGCCCTCTAATAGGGTCGGGAGTGTTTTGCAGTGCGTTCCGTCGAGGAGGTGGTGTAGTCTAGGTGTCTTGTGTCGGAGTAGGTCTCTGAATGCGTTGGGATCTAGGCCCGATGGGAAACTGTCATTGTGCGTGAGTGGGAGCAGGGGGGACGGAAATGGCGCTAGCCTGCATCTCTTTGCTACCCTCCCCCACGCCCGCAGTGTTGCAGTCGTGTAGGGTGAGCCCATTCCTCCGGTCCCTTCGCTCCCCTGCCATGGTAGGGTGGACAGCGGTTTCCCAGCTTCCGTTTCCTCTATTTCTTTCCACCTCTTGAACACTCTCTCTTTTGTCCACTCCATAATTCTTTGGAGGTGGCAGGATTCAAGGTGAAGTCATGCATAGCCAGTCCCTCCCTGTCTTTGGGTAGCGTCAGTGCGGTCATCTTAACTCTCGGTCCTCTATGATCCCATACGTATTTCCCTGTTGTCTGTCTCAGGGTATGAAAAAATGCTCTAGGGATGATTATGGGTAGGGCTTGCATGAGGTAAAGCAGGCGTGGGAGCAGGTTCATTTTTATTACCTGTATCCTGCCTAGCCATGTTATGTGTGGGTATGCCCAGTCCGACAGGTTTTTCCGGAACCTATCTAATAGAGGGAGGAAATTTTCTCTGTATAGATCATTTTCCCTCTTCGTCAGCCATGTGCCTAAGTACTGTATCTTGTGTTGCATCCATTGGAATGTGTGGCTCTGCTTCAGGGGGGTGACTCTGTGTTCGGGTATACTAACATTCAGGATGTAGGATTTTGTGCAGTTAATTTTAAGGTTGGATATCTCCCCTAAGGTCCTGAAGGCCTTCAGGACATTCGGGAGGGAGACCTCTGGATTGGTGATGAAGAAGAGGAGGTCGTCTGCATATGCCGCAACCTTGTGTTGCAGGTCTATATTTCCAATACCCTTAATAGCTGCGTCGTGTTGTATGTGCGTCAAGAAGGGCTCGAGTGTCAGCACGAAGAGCAGGGGGGACAGAGGGCACCCCTGCCTTGTGCCGTTTTTTATGGGGAATTCATTTGTCAGGGCTCCGTTTACGATAACGTGGGTGGTAGGCCCATCATACAGTGCCTCTACCCATCTCCGGAAATGCGGTCCCAGCCCGGTGTGTGTCAGTGTGTAAAACATGTATTGCCAGTCGACTCTGTCGAAGGCCTTCTCTGTGTCCGTGGACAGCAGCAGAACTCCTTCGTCTCCGCCTTTACGTCTGTGCATGAGCGTCAACGCTCAGATTGTGTTGTCTCTAGCCTCACGTCCCATGACGAAACCCACCTGGTCCAGGTGTATTAGTGTGGGGATGTGTGTTTGGAGTTTGACATCGCAGTTGATGAGCGAGATGGGTCTGTAGTTCCCACAGTGTTCCCTGTCCTTTCCCTCCTTCGGGATAAGGGCGATATGCGCCATCTGTGATTGTTTTGGAAGGCGATGCCCTTCCCTCAGTGCGTTCAGTGCGTCTAGGAGAGGGGAATACAGGTGTTCTGCAAACATTTTGTAATACTTTAGTGGTAGCCTGTCCGGGCCTGGGCTTTTACCTTGTTTTGTCACTTTAATGGCCTGAGCCTGTCCGGAGAAGGTGTCCCATCGGGGGTTGAGTGCCACGTTTAGGTCCCCCCCCCACTATGAGGATTCCCTCCGTGAAGGGCTGTAGTTTCTTCAGTGTGCGTGCCAGGAATTTGTATTGTCGGTTGTTTGGGGCGTAGATGTTTGCGAACGTGTAGTCCTGTCCTGCAATTGAGCCTTTGAGGAAAAGCAATCTACCCTCCCTGTCCGTCATCTGTCCCGTTTCTATAAAAGGTATCTTTTTGTTAACTAGGATGGCCGTGCCTCTCGACCTCCCTGCGTGGTAGTCGCTGTAGTATCCCATCGGGTAGTGATGGTTAGTCATTTTGGGCCTAGACCCTTCCTTAAAGTGTGTCTCCTGAAGAAAGACTACCAAGGCTCGTTTGGCGTGGAAGTCTCTCAGCGCTCCTGAGCGCTTCTCCAGTTTGTTGAGGCCTCTGGCATTTATGGAGAGGACAGTGAGACAGTCCGGCACTAGCGTCTTAGCGTCCATATGCGGGGGCGGACGTGTCATTCGTTCTTAAAGTCACGGTCCAGTCCGGGGTTCATAGGGTGTATGGGTCCGTCAGTTACAGGTTGGGTGGGGGTCTTAGGGTGGAGGAGGGTTAGGGGGTTTGAGATGTGTGTTTATGTGTTCTCGTCACTTACGGAGTGATGGTGAAGTGTCAGCGACGGGGAGCGATCAACCCCGCGGCCACCTGTGATCCGCGGTTTCTACTCACCTTTCTTAGGTCGCTGCACCCTATGGGGCTGTAAAAGGAAGCCAAAGGACTCCGGGTGGTACCAGTCCTCCCCGTGTCCGCGTGTATGTCAGTGGTTGGTGTGTACCTGTGTTGCGTGTTTCGGCCTGTTCGATCCGTGTGGGTCCCCTGTCGGCTCTGTTAGTTAGGTTCGAATCGTTATTGAGATCCTCATCAGTGGAGCTCATATTTGTTGGGCTCCGAGTGGTAGGTCAGAGATCAATTGTACAACAGAACAATGAAGCAATAAAGCAAAACATATCTTTCAGAACATTAACCTGCAATCCTGCTAATATTGTGCAGTCGCATGCATCATAACTCATTATATTCATGTCTGTGCGCCTAGCCCTCCGTCCTACTTTCTTCCCCCTCTGGCTCCTGCGCCCCAGCCCCAGTACGGGTCCCTCGTCTCCTTTAGGTGGGGGCTTACCCCCTCCCCCTTCCAGCCCTCCTCTCGTGCTGCCCTCTATCCCCGTCGTGATTCAGGTCCGTGTTTGGAATGAGTGGTGCGCTGGTGGCAACGGCCTGGTATGAGTGAGCCTGGGGGGCCCTATCTTGCCTTGTGGGTCTCTAACGAGTGTATCTGTGGGTCGGTGGCCTTGATCTCCCTTCTGAAGCGCCTTCCCCTTCTCTTCTCTTCCCCCTCCCGCTCGTTCCCCGTGTGTGAGTTAGTCCCCCCAGCGGGGCCCGCCCCCTGCTCGGCTGGGTCATCACAGGGCGGCCAAGGCCCCAGCGGCGAGGCCCAGTCCTAAATAAGTGCCGGTGCACCCCCCCTTGCCCTTCGATCCATCTCCCCCCCGGTAATGGCCGCGGTGTATATGCCGAGGGCGGGGTCGGTGCTTCCCAAGAGCGGTCCCTCTTTGGTGGGTTTTTGCACTGAGTGCGGGCATGTACTATCAGGGCCCCCTCCCCTCCGTGTCGCCAACTTGTGGGGTTGTGTTGTGGGAGCTCACCCTGTGTTATAAGTATACAGGCTTACTGTCATGCTCGGGGGAGTGCAACGGCCCCTGTGGAAAAAGCTTGCTCCCATCTAGTATAGACACTCAGAGGTGCCTATACTCTCAGAGGTGTGGGTCTGCTTGCGTGCCCCTTTTGTGTGCTTCCCCAGTTCCTCCCCCCCAACTATGGTAACCAGGTGGACCCCCTCCTGTTCTCGCCCCCCCCTTCTCTCAGCCTGGCATAGTAAGTGGTAGCAGTCCTGATCCCCAATAAGGGGGCTGGTACCCCTATTGGAGAGTGAGTCCCGGTGTTTGGTACTTGCGGTTATGTGCAGCGTCTGCTGGTAATAGTCTTTTACGCCACCGTCCCCGAGGGCCGGGTGGCCTGTTGTCTGGTCCCTCTACTCCTGTGCTGTTGTGGCGGGAGCCCCTGGTTCAACGGCGGTGACATGTAGAAGGTAAGGGGGTCCGGCTATGTCATAGTGATGGGTGGAAGTTGTAGTTCCTTTTCCAGGTCGCTCAGATCCTCCGGGTGTCAGACTGTGAAAGGTCCCTTTGTTGTGACGACCTGTAGCCCGGTCGGGAAGGTCCACCGATACCTGATTCTGTTGGACTGGAGAATTCTCGTGAGGGGCCTCATTGCTCTACGGTACGCCAGGGTGGCAGGTGAGAGATCAGGGTACAGTTGTATGTCTACTCCATTCAGTGTCACCCTTTCTGTGCTTCGCGCTTTCTGTAGGATTTCTTTCTTTAGTCGGAAACTGGCCAGGCAACAAATAGTGTCCCTTGGAGGAGCCTCCGGTGGGCCCCTGGGTCTCAGTGCCCGGTGAGCTCTGAAAAACTCAATGTCGGTGGTCGCTGGGTGGACCAGGATCTTATTGAACATTTCTTTGAGGGTATCAGTTATCGGCGTGGATTTATCCAGGTCTTCTGGGATGCCGCGCACCCTTATGTTTTGGCGCCTGCCACGGTTGTCCAGATCCTCCATGTGTAGGGCAATTTGTCTCATTTGCGTTGTGCGGTGGTAGATCGCGTCAGTGTTTGCAGACTGGGCGGAGGACAGGTGGTCACAGTCTGCTTCCAGTTGCGATACTTTGGTATGTAGGTCCTGGATGTCCTCCCGGAGGGAATGCAGTTCCGCTGTGATGGAGGCTCGTAGCTCCGAGTTAGCCTCCTTCAGGTCCTCGTTGGGAGTGCCTGGATCAACTGTACCCAGTCTGGTTGGGGGCCCGGGGAGGTCTGGGCCTGCATCGTCTGGCGGCCTCCTCGTGGCGACGCTGGGCGCGAAACGTCGTCAGGCTCCAAGGCGGTGGAGGCCCGCGCGGACGTGTCAGTGGGATTCACTAGGAATTGCCGCAACGAGACTGCAGCTGTGCCCTTTGGCGTGTCTGTTGGCTTGGTTGTGTGCGGTGCCCGGTGGGTTTTGCCCATATTTGCCTGGTTGTCAGGTGCCGTGATGAGGATTTGAGCTGAGCCTCTTGGGGAGCTCCGGGTTTACGCCGCCATCTATCTCGGCTTCCAAGCCACGCCCGCCTCTTGGCTCTTCTGCAAACCTTTTGATGGTCCATAATAAAATGGTTTTGCATTACTGAGCATGTCTGGTACATTATTGAAAAGAAACCTTGCATATGAGTGAAAACATTACTGAAAGCATACTGAAACTGTACTGTAAACTCAGTATACATCAGCCACCCATTTTCCTCAATATGTAGCACACTTGGTGTACTTTAATTTACACTATCAATATTTTTTGAAGTCATTTTATATTTTGGATAATCTTTTTTAAAAATTAAAAGGTTTTCAAAGTATTAAAATATAAAAAATATATAATACATGAAATATATAAGAAAATATCAAAATATATCCTAAAATATAAAATAATTTCAATAGATTAAAATTCTTTTAATCAATTACTGTTACATTATACAAAAAAAGAAATATATTCCTTAATGCTGCAAAAAGTGACAGATTTCTCAGATATCTGCATCACTCTGAATAACCAAATCATTATAAATAATAACAATATCTTCTGTATATTTGCTGAAAATGCCGCCAGACCTTTCTAAAGTTTAACCCCTTAAGGACACATGACATGTGTGACATGTCATGATTCCCTTTTATTCCAGAAGTTTGGTCCTTAAGGGGTTAAGCAGCCTGAATGTTGCTGGGTGCAGTGTTCTGGACTTCCATATAGGATTGCAAGGTCCACCATGTTTTTATGGACCCACAAAATGTATTCCCTCACTCCATTAAATCGTGTTAAAGTTTTTCTTTGTTAAGGCAACATTGACACTCCATGATGTCTCAGGCTTCTACAAAGAACTGCGTACGTATATACCACTGCGTGAGTTTAATGTTATTTATGTAAATCAAAAATAGAAAAATGAATGATTTTGCTTTTTAAATGAACAGCACAAGAATTTGTAATTAGGTGTTCGGTTGTGCAGAATGGTCACAAGAGACAGTTCTTCTTTAAGAGGAAACAAACTAACTTTAACTCTTTCACAGAAATACAATTCAGTGCAGTATACAGTGCATAATAATATATAATAATGTACAATTAATTAGCAGTAGTGAGTATTAGCTATATAATGCAAATTAATTTGCATTGTCATATTTGGGGAAAATGAAATCATCCAAATATACCACAGAATTTTCCAAGAGATCACAGGTTTAAAATAAATTAATACAGAAAATTCTGTAAGAAAAATAAAGTAAACACTGTAGCCTATCTAGAGTAACCATATAATCCTTTAACATATTACAATTCTGCTTTGCATTATTCAGACTCATTCAAATTTCACTGTGTCTAAAGTTACACAGAAAAGGAAGAAACTTTGTCTAAACAATGAGCTTAATATCTCTTATCGAAAATGCCAACAACAAAAAGATATTAAACAAATTTCATATAATCGTATCATACTTTTTTTTTTTTAACTCCCCCTCCTGACTCTAATACATCTAATAGCCCCCCTGGTTGCCCCCAAATGCCCCTAAGCCCCATATTACCTATATTTAATGTTTATTTTCTGCCCGGACCTAGGTCCTGGGCGCCGCCATCTTTGTGTTGGTAGATTAAGTCCTTGTGGGACACGTCACCTACCCGCACTAGATAGCGCTGTGAGATTCCTGCGCATTCCCGTTATTCCGATGGGAATTTCGACCATTCATTCATCAGAAAGATGAATGAATAGAAATTTAAACTAACAAACAAAACGAATGCTGGGGATTAGTGAAATGAAGCATTGCGAGATCAGGTGAGAATTGTGGGAAAATTCCTTTGACCGCGAGAAGTGGGTCAAACCTGGTCAAGCGTAGGAAACCTCCATAAGACAAAGTAGTCCCTACTTTGTCCTATGTTTTAAAGAAAACTAGAGCAGACATGAAGAAAAGAAGAACAGATCCTGAGAGAGGGAGAGAAGAGGAAGCGATTGGGGAAAGGTAAGTTCGACATGACAGTGCCGCTTTAAAGACATTTTCCAGTTAATTATTATTAATTAGTATACATCATTCTTCATGCAGACACATGATATTTTAAAAATACATGCATACATACAGTTGCAAGAAAAAGTATGTGAACCCTTTGGAATGATATGGATTTCTGCACAAATTGGTCATAAAATGTGATCTGATCATCATCTAAGTCACAACAATAGACAATCACAGTCTGCTTAAACTAATAACACACAAAGAATGAAATGTTGCCATGTTTTTATTGAACACACCATGTAAACATTCACAGTGCAGGTGGAAAAAGTATGTGAACCCCTAGACTAATGACATCTCCAAGAGCTAATTGGAGTGAGATGTCAGCCAACTGGAGTCCAATCAATGAGATGAGATTGGAGGTGTTGGTTACAGCTGCCCTGCCCTATAAAAGACACACACCAGTTCTGGGTTTGCTTTTCACAAGAAGCATTGCCTGATGTGAATGATGCCTCGCACAAAAGAGCTCTCAGAAGACCTACGATTAAGAATTGTTGACTTGCATAAAGCTGGAAAGGGTTATAAAAGTATCTCCAAAAGCCTTGCTGTTCATCAGTCCACGGTAAGACAAATTGTCTATAAATGGAGAAAGTTCAGCACTGCTGCTACTCTCCCTAGGAGTGGCCGTCCTATAAAGATGACTGCAAGAGCACAGCGCAGACTGCTCAATGAGGGAAAGAAGAATCCTAGAGTGTCAGCTAAAGAATTACAAAAGTCACTGGCAAATGCTAACATCCCTGTTAGCGAATCTACAATACGTAAAACACTAAACAAGAATGGATTTCAAGGGAGGATACCACAGAGGAAGCCACTGCTGTCCAAACAAAACATTGCTACACGTTTACAGTTTGCACAAGAGCACTTGGATGTTCAACAGCAGTACTGGCAAAATCTTCTGTGGACAGATGAAACCAAAGTTGAGTTGTTTGGAAGAAACACACAACACTATGTGTGGCAAAAAAAAGGCACAGCACACCAACATCAAAACCTCATCCCAACTGTGAAGTATGGTGGTGGGGGCATCATGGTTTGGGGCTGCTTTGCTGCGTCAGGGCCTGGACGGATTGCTATCATCGAAGGAAAAATGAATTCCCAAATTTATCAAGACATTTTGCAGGAGAAATTAATGCCATCTGTCTACCAGCTGAAGCTCAACAGAAGATGGGTGTTGCAACAGGACAATGACCCAAAGCATAGAAGTAAATCAACAGAATGGCTTAAACAGAAGAAAATACGCATTCTGAAGTGGCCCAGTCAGAGTCCTGACCTCAACCCGATTGAGATGCTGTGGCATAACCTCAAGAAAGCGATTCACACCAGATATCCCAAGAATATTGCTGAACTGAAACAGTTCTGTAAAGAGGAATGGTCAAGAATTACTCCTGACTGTTGTGCACGTCTGATCTGCAACTACAGGAAACGTTTGGTTGAAGTTATTGCTGCCAAAGGAGGTTCAACCAGTTATTAAATCCAAGGATTCACATACTTTTTCCACCTGCACTGTGAATGTTTACATGGTGTGTTCAATATAAACATGGCAACATTTCATTCTTTGTGTGTTATTAGTTTAAGCAGACTGTGATTGTCTATTGTTGTGACTTAGATGATGATCAGATCACATTTTATGACCAATTTGTGAAGAAATCCATATCATTCCAAAGGGTTCACATACTTTTTCTTGCAACTGTATATATCTATGTATCTACAAGTGTATATATATTTATACACACACTAAGGTAGTACAAAAATGGGTCAAGTCAAATCCCTCTGAGGCCTCTGAGCTATAAACAGATTCCTGTTGCTTCAGTAATGTTTTGTTCGTAATTTTTTCTGGAAAAAAGGAATTGGCAAGTACCCACCTATGGTATAACCAGAAATCTCTGCATTGTTGGCTTAATAGTAAAGACAAATAAAGAAATATCGTTTTGGGATTTTTAGAATGATGTAAGGGCTCAAGAAGGGAAGAGAAGGGCAGTGTTTTGGGTGGATTGCAGTGGTGGCTGGTGAAGATAGTGGAGCACCAGACTCCTTCCCCAGAATTGTACTCCTCCCTTTACAGTACAGAGAGCTGAGCATAATACAGAGATGCTCATAAAATAAAACAAGCTGCACACAACATAAAGATATCTATGAAATACATAGACCTAAGCACAATACAGGGATAACCATACTGCACCGAGAGCTGAGAAAATAATAGAGATATAGCACACAGAGTTGGGCGCAATACAGAGATACCTATACAATACACAGAACTGGGTAGAGTACAGAGATACCCATACAACAGGTAGAGCTGAGTAAAATACAGAGAAATAACAGAGACCTGGGCATAATAAGGAGATACTCATAACTATCCCACAAAGCCAGAGCTCCAGCTCTCTCTATATATCTTCCTAACCCTCTCTTTGCCCCCTCCTCATGATCTCCCCCTCGGTAGTGCTCCTGCTAGGAAAACTTTAGCCTTCTATTAAATATTGCTGCTGTTAAGAAACATGTCAGCTACTCCATTAGTTCTCAACAAACAGTGTGCACAATGTTAAAGCATCAAAATACCGATAGACTCGAATGATGTCAGCTATTCCTTACTCATTATTTGCTCTCAGCACACAGTGTACACAGGATTAAATCAGCAGGATACTAATAGACTCATTACATTTGCAGCTGGCAATATAATTAATCTGCAGTGGTAATATGGATCCAGAAGTAGCTGACATGGTAAATAGAATCATGGCATATTAAAACAGAATAAAATAAGAATCAGATCAGTCCTCAGAGTCAAAGCCCCAGTCCTGCAGTTTGAAGCCCCACAATTTTCAACTAGCCAGAACATGAGTGACTGAGCACTTTAAAGAAGATGGGAGTTATTAAAGTAGGAATTATTAAACCTATTTGTGACAGCCAGAACAATGCTTTGTGCCAGAATGCCCCCGCTCCCTCTGTCACCTGTGGGCTTCCCTGGCTTTATATATATTATATATGTAAGTAAATTCCTTTGCTTATTCAGCCCTCAGGCAGTCACTGGGGCTATTGGGGGGAGAGAAAAAAGATATATGACACTCACATTTGTGAGGGGCCTAGGACCTACTGTTGCTATGCTTTCCTGGTACTGTTGGAGAGATGGCTCCTTGCTTCTCTCTCCTGTGGGCACTGTAACACCGCCCTACTGCCCCTTGAGAGCCCAATAGCAGGCAACCACTCATGGGTAGCTTGTACTGACCCAGAATAGAAACTCGATTAAAATTCTTGCAATTCCTTCTCAAAGGACACAAGACATGTGCAAAGCCTGCTGAACCAGGGCAGATTTTAAACCTGGACCATTTTTTGACATGTCTAGATGCTCTCAAGTGAGCTTCTCCAAACAGCTACTAACGAGGGAGCAAGGACCCTGCAGAGCTGAAACCTATTACAGAATTAAAGAGACACTAATTATTAACAAGGGGTCTGTGCAGAAGCCAATATTGTTGGAGTGGATGAATAGTCCACAACTGTGTCCTCAAAGGAGGCTGAGATGTTTCCTTAAACTGTGGTGATCGGATTGCATTGTCTGTTTCATTGAAAGCTGCAATAAAATAGAAATAATCAAGTTTGGTACAGAAATATTGTGTAGAAAGTGAAAATGAGCTAGGGTTTAAACAAAACGGGAATTGCAGGGAAATGGGATTGCTGAAGAGCTTCTATATACCAGCATGACTAAATTCCTTGAATCTAGCTCCTGTCATTACGAAGCAGTGGCCCAACACGCAGAATTAATCAAAACATGTATCAAATACAAACAGTAACAACACATTACCGGGCCTTTGAATGGCCGGAATTAACGTAATAGAATAAACAGTAACGAGCCGGAGTCAGGAATACAGAAAGGAACAAATACGGAAAGAACAAAGCCAAAGGGTCAGGGATATCAGAAATACGGGAAGTCAAGCCAGAATCAGGAACACGCTCTCGCATAACCAACAGGATGGAAACCACGACAGGGCACTGAACAACTGCATGTTTGAGTTTAAATAACCCAGTTAATCCTGCTATTGGCTGATTTGGGTCCCATGACCCCAGAACGTGCGTGCACAGCAAAAATGTGACACCGCATGCATGTTCACGTCACTAGTAACGTCATTGGGGTGGCGTTTTTATATAGCGCCGCCTTTCAGTGGCCGGCATCCTTCCTAACACTGGACCTGGACACTGAATTACAAACTGCACGGAGGGAGAGGCTCTGGAGGTAAGGTTAAAACCCCTTCAGTGACTTACCCTTGGCACTGGTCAGGCTCTGCCTACTCTCCGCCTACTCTCCACGCACGCGCATTAGACCTCCCCATGGGAAAGCATTATTCAATGCTTTCCTATGGGCATTTTGGCGATTCTGGAAGTCCTCACATAGCGTGAGGACTTCCAGCATTGCTTTAAACACTTTTCATGTTCTAAGAACACAGAAGTCCCTCGGTGATCACTAGGAGCATCGAATGACAGAGGTACCCGGTCAGGGTGCCAGGCGGTCCATCACAGTGTGTGATCATGAAGTTGAAAGAAAAAGGAAAAGAAAAAACACAAGTATAACATAACAGAAGTCACTGCAATAGTAAGTGGTGAAGAATAGAAGCTCGCTGCCACATCCGATACCACAGATTGGCCTCCATAGGTAATACATCCCAACGCCGAAGATTGCTTCACCTCTTGTCCCATCCTGGCAATTGTAGCAAACAACAAGTGCATGCCACGAGATCTGCTTGGTTTGCCAGGCTGTTTTATCACCTCAAGCTCGCGCCATAGAGGGAGCCATTGCATTTTGTCTAGGGGCCTTCTCCAGCTGTATGGTAGGACCTCTGGTCCGCAGAGGCTCCAAGATTTGTGGCCTCCCTTGAGAGTGTGGGTGGCTTGGTGAATGTGGCTACACATGGGCACTGGTTGCAGTGAGGTAAGTGTGCCCAGTGGTTGACCGGAATATCCCCCCCGGTCCAGAGTGGGGGTTGCTTGGTGCCAAGCGGGAGATTGGCCGCTTCCCCCAGCCAGTGGGTTGACTCCCCTCAGGTAGGCCTCAAGACCGGATAGCAAAGTGTTGTGCTGCGATTTTTGGGGCGCAAAGAGCCGACTTCAATGTAGCAACAGGCTTCATTTGATTTTCTGTCATCAGCAGCTTTTATGCATTTAAGGTCAAATTAGGGCTTATAATGACCGAAGCTCCTAGAGAATGCATCCGGCCATCGGAAACCCAGGCCCTGCCCCTCAATTTTTCTGTGTGTTCATACGAGATGGGCTAGCCTTTGCTCCCCATCTGCATCAATGAGCCTTGGGCACCCATGACCATGATTCAGGTTTATCGGTTTTCCTTCCTTGTACCACTTTTAATAGGTACTAACCACTGCATACCATGAATACCCTACAAGACTTGCAGTTTTGGAAATGCTCTGGCCCAGTCATCTAGCCATCACTATTTGGCTTTTGTCAAAGTCACTCTGATATTTTCACTTGCCCATTTTTCTTGATTCCAACACATGAAATTCAGGATCTCACTGTTCACTTGCTGCCTTGCTGCTCCTTGACAGGTTTCATTTTAACAATATAATCAATGCTATTCTCTTCACCTGTTAGTGGTTTTAATGTTGTGGCTGATCAGTGTAGATGAACAAACACATTTACGTGATTTTGAGTAAGGGGAGTTTATTATGGCGAGATGAGTATATTTGTAGTTTAAAATGTATTAATGCTAATATTGTAATGTTATTTATGAAAAAAAAAAAGAGAAGATCTATCAAAGCGATAGTAAAATATGCCTGACAGTCTTATAACTCCTTAATTCTTTATGTATAAATATAGAAAATATGCGTGTGTATGTAAAAAGATACTTCAAATTTACTGTTGTTTTCATCATATACATATCATACCTTAGGAAAAGTCAATCTTGGCCACAGCAAATCATCTCTCCCAGAATGCTCTATTTGATATGCAAATGAGCACATGGATGAAGTATAAAACATGATGCCTGTGGTGCATATTTAGCAGAGCATTATGCAAGAATTTGGATTTATTTAAGGATCACTATAGTGTCAGGAAAACAAAGCAGGTTTCCTGACATTATAGTGCCCTGAGGGTGCCCCCACCCTCAGGGTCCCCCTCCCGTGGCGCTGAAGGGGTTAAACCCCCTTCAGCCACTTACCTTATTCCAGCGCCGGGCTCCCCCGGCGCTGGTGACCTCTCCTCCCCCGCCGACGTCAGCTCCCCCGTCCGACATCAGCGGAGCCGAATGCGCATGCTCGGCAAGTGCTGCGCGCGCATTCAAAGTGTCCATAGGAAAGCATTTCTTAATGCTTTCCTATGGACGCTCTGCGCGATGGAGGCTAAATGTGCCTCCAGCGTCGCAGATGCGCCTCTAGTGGCTGTCCGGAACACAGCCACTAGAGGCTGGATTAACCCCAAATGTAAACATAGCAGTTTCTTTGAAACTGCTATGTTTGCATCTGAAGGGTTAAAACCTGAGGGACCTGGCACCCAGGCCACTTCATTGAGCTGAAGTGGTCTGGGTGACTATAGTGTCCCTTTAATATTAGCATTGATATAGCTCCAACATGTTCTGCAACGCTTTACAATGATAGAAAGTCCCTGCTCAAACGAGCTTACCATGAGCATATGCGGTAGGAATATATACATCATTATGTACACTTACTGGTGAGGTGGTCTGACTGAGATTTACATCTGCTCTAACCAGGCAATATACTGTGATATAATGAGATTTTTTTTTCCAGATTTGCTGTGCCCAAGACAGACTTTTCCCAAAGTCTGACATGTGATGTGTTGGTTATGCACAACAATACATTTTGGATTTGGATCAATCCGTGAGGACCTTTATTTTGTTTTCATCTCACAACAACTTTCTTTAGTGCTTAAATAGTTAAATTATTAGATAATCAAGTTCTAGCTATAGAGTACAGAGGGGTATGTGCTGCTGATTACAGAAATAGATATTTCTCTACTCAATGTTAAACAGTGATGGAGTATAAATCATTTAATTCAACCATCAATGTGCTGTATGTTCCACTTAAATGTGTACACAAAATTGATACCTCTCAATTTTTTCCAGGTGATGTTTTCATACTTGTGTTCAGCCTAGACAGCAGAGATTCGTTTGATGAAGTGAAGAGGCTGAGGAAGCAAATTCTGGAAGTCAAGTCTTGTGTGAAGAACAAGACAAAAGAGACAGGAGACTTTCCAATGATGATCTGTGGTAACAAGAGTGATTGTGGTGAGCATCATCGCAAGGTGCATACAGAAGAGGCGGAACATCTGGTCTCTGGAGATGAAAACTGTGCCTACTTTGAAATATCAGCAAAGAAAAACTCAAATGTGGACAAGATGTTTCAAGTCCTATTCAGCATGGCTAAACTTCCCAATGAGATGAGCCCAGCCCTTCATCGTAAGATATCCATGCAATATGGAGATCCATTCCAACAGAAGTCATTTCGATTAAGAAGGCTGAGAGAGATGGGTGCTTATGGCATGGTGTCTCCTTCTGCTAGACGTCCCAGTGTCAACAGCGACCTCAAGTACATCAAAGCTAAAGTGCTGGGAGAGGGTCAGGGACGAGAAAGAGAAAAATGTACCATCCAATAAGAGTCCTCTATATCATTGGCTCATAAGCCAGTCCTCAAGGCACACTAACAGTATAGGTTTTTCCAATGTCTCCATTGCAGCAGAATTGGGAATTGTGGAAATTCTGGACTGTTGGTGTGCTTTTAGACTGGCTTGGGAGTCACTGTTCTAGAGCAAAGAGATGTGCCTTTAGGGTCCTTGGAGGTAGAGCACCCACACAGGATTTGAAAACATTCTATATTTTTATGGGAGTTATTGTGAAAGGAAAGCCTCTAGATTTGTACATCAGCTTTATGTAATGAACTGAAGTTAGTGAGATTTAAAAGCTTTATGCATGTTTCATTTGCATTTGCTCAGTTTTTTGCTGACAGAACCTGTCACTGTTAAAGGATTTTCAAACAAATGTAAAGTAACTGTCAATACATTGGCATGTACAATAATCTGAAAACCAAGATTCCAAGAAAAATGTCTGAAAAGGTTTCCTATACCTACCTTCACTTATTGTTTTGAATATAACAATGACCTTTCTGCAGGACGTAGATACTTGAATGAGGAATATACAAAACATTATCTATTAAATGAAAACTACATTACTTTATTACATTTATGTGGACAAAACTATCCTAGTGAGAACCCACACTCACTATTTGAAATAACTTTATAGCCTCACACAAAGAAGTCATAACAACAGCAAAATGACAAGAAATAAGTTTAGCTACAAACCCTGTATAGTATATAATGTTGTTCTCATTGGTTTAACTGCTTGGTTAAAAATGGCTAGTGTGGTGTTTTAATAATTCTTTAGCACTTTGATGTCAGCTTTTACTTTTCATGTTTGATTCCTTTTTGTCACTTTAGTTCTGGTTGACTATAATGACTACACAATTAAATATTTAAATTAGTGCTGTCTAACTTCTTGGTGTGGCTGGACCCATCTTTGAGCATTTCAGCCCGATTGAAGAATTTCATAAGATCAACCTTCTAGAGCAGGCTTCCTCAAACTCCGGCCCTCCAGATGTTGCTGAACTACAACTCCCATGATTCTATGAATGAAATAGATAGGCTGAGAATCATGGGAGTTTGTAGTTCAGCAACATCTGGAGGGCCGGAGTTTGGGGAAGCCTGTTCTAGAGGATAAATCAGTGGGTCTTAAAATCTGGGGAACCAATATTAGCCTATTCAGTTGTGCTGAAAAGTTTGCATACCCTGACAGAAACTGGGAAATTTTGGCATTGATTTTGATATATGACTGATCATGCAAAAACATGTATTTTATTAAAGGATAGGGATCATATAAAGCCATTTATTATCACATAGTTGTTTGGCTCTTTTTTAAAATCATAATGATAACAGAAATCACTCAAATGGCCCTGATCAAAAATGTACATACCCTTGAATGTTTGGCCTTGTTACAGACACACAGGTTAAAATGGCAATTAAAGGTTAATTTCCCACACCTGTGGCTTTTTAAATTGCAATTGGTGTCTGTGTATAAATAATCAATGAGTCTGTTAGCTCTCACGTGGATGCACTGAGCAGGCTAGATAATGAGGATCAGAAAAGAATTGTCAAAAGATCTGTGTAGCAAGGAAATGGAACTTTATAAACATGGAAAAGGATATAAAAAGGTATCCAAAGCCTTGAAAATGTCAGTCATTACTGTTTAATCACTTATTCAGAAGTGGAAAATGTGGAGATCTCTTGATACCAAGCCAATGTCAGGTAGACCAAGAAAAATTTCATCCACAACTACCAGAAGAATTGTTCGGGATACAAAGAAATACCCACAGGTAACCTCAGGAGAGATAATAAACTGCTCTGGAAAAAGACGGTGTGGTTGTTTCAAGGAGCACAATATGACGATACTTGAACAAAAATTAGCTGCATGGTCGAGTTGCCAGAAAGAAGCCTTTACTGCGCCAATGTTACAAAAAAAGTCCAGTACAATATGCCTGACAACAACTTGGCATGCCTCACAGCTTCTTGCACACTGTAATTTGGAGTGATGAGACCAAAATAGAGCTTAATGGTCACAACCATAAGTGCTATGTTAGGAGAGGGGTCGACGAGGCCTATACTGAAAAGAATACCATTCCTACTGTGAAGCATGATGGTGTCTCACTGATGTTTTGGGGGAGGGGGGGTGAGGGGTTGGGCTAAAGGCATGGGAAATCTTGTGAAAATTGATGGCAAGATCAATGCAGCAAGTTATCATTCTTCTGCACGAAGGCTGCACCTGGGATGCTCTTGGACTTTCCAGCATGGCAATGACCCTAAGCATGAGGCGAAGTTGACCCTCCAGTGGTTACATCGGAAAAAGCTGAAGGTTCTGGAGTGGCCATCACAGGCTCCTGACCTTAATAATCGAGCCACTCTAGGGAGACCTCAAACGTGTGGTTCATGCAAGATAACCAAAGACTTTAAAACCTGGAGGCATTTTGCCAAGATGAATGGGCAGCTATACCACCTGCAAGAATGAGGGGCCTCATAGACAACTATTACAAAAGACTGTACGCTGTAATTCATGCTAAAGGGGGCAGTACACAGTATTAAAATATAAGGGTATGCAGACTTTTGAACAGGGGTCCTTTAATTGTTTTCTTTGTTGCCTTTGTTTTATGATTGTGCCATTTTGTTGAATATGAATCCCATAAGTAATAAAATAAATCTGTTTTGCCTGCTCATGCATGTTTTCTTTTAAAATGGTACCTTTATTACCAATTCTCCAAGGGTATGCAAACTTTTGAGCACAACTGTACGATGAATAAAAAAAAAAATGTTAAAGGCTGAATATTGTAATGTCACAGAAGGAGCTATTCAAATGGCCAAGACTTTTGGATTTGAATTAAAGAATTTGAGTATGTCATATCATGGATGTTTAAAACACCCAAAGGGCTAATGAACAATTGGAAAGCATACAGACTTTCGCCAACTGGCCGAGTGTATGGAATTAATATGTGATCTTGCCAGCAATCACTTTTCTTTTCTAGACACTACCAAACCTATTTAAATCTAAGGACATTATTCAAATACAGAAAGAAACCACAAGGTATATTTGTGAGTATAAAAAAAAAGTAAGAATCGGGCATTATCAGGGTTATTCACTAAAGTGAGAATATAAAGGGAATTCATATTTAAGGTCAAAATAGCAGCACTGGGAAAGTTCCAAAATTTTTCCATTTTGGCTACTTAAATTTGAGATTCACTTTGAATTTCCACTTTAGTAAATAATCCTGAATATCACATACAAACAAAGAATGAGAGGCATTTTGGCATCACCAACTTACAATTATTCCGCAAAGTGGGACATTTTATCAGATGCTTAGGTATGCTGGGTGGACATTGAGGAGACAATGTGCAGCAATATGCCGCTGTCTAGACTCCTATAGATCCCGTGTATTCATCAGAAAGTTGAGTTAGTTAATCAAAATTAAAATACACAGATAAAGGCACAGGTGAGCAAGGTGCCTAAAAAGCTCTCTTCTCATCCTCCATGTAAATGTCCATCTTGGGCAACCCATTCTTTACAGATAGTGTGATAGAACAATGGACAACTTTCAATGGTGGAGTAAACATTACCTGAAAACTTAATTAATTTGTAAGTTCACTCACTATAGTCAGGTCATTAAATTATGGAAAATCACAATCTACAATCATCAGAGTTTGCAAATCTAACCCTGTGGAAAAAATTCATCATTAGACTCCTAGAGCAACACCCAAACCTTAGCCTCCTTGCATTTCAATGCCCTTAGAAATTCAGGTATAAATGTAAATAAACCATCTTGTGTATTCAAGCTATGATACTAAATATATTACAACATACTTGGAAAACACCATAGGAAATACCATGGGAAATGTGACATTTCAAATGGAAACTGGAGAGATACTTTCAAGCTGTCCTCTAAGGTAGCCACTTGCATGACAATGTAAAAAAAATCTTGTAAAATGAAGTCACAATTACTCATACCTAATGACGAACTGTACAAGAGGCTAAAGCGAAAAATGCTATTACTTCTATGTTTGGCGACAGTGCAGCAAAATACAGCCTTTTGGTGAGACATATTTTATTTATTTAAAGCTCTCCTGAAAGTGGACTTTCAGTCCAATTCATTTGTTGCAGTGTTGAATGGAAAAACATATTGGGCTAAAGTCAGTTGAATTTTGCTAAAAAGTACCCATCAAATGTGTAAATCTGCGATAATCTGTATCAATACGATATGAAAAGTCTCCCAATTACACACAAAAATATGGATTATATAAGGGATCTTAAACCCGGGTGCTCAGATGTTGATGGTCTTCAAATCCCAGAAATCTTTGAATGCAATAGATGGCTACGGAATTTATTGGAGTTACAGTTCAGAAAAAAAATGAGGGTGCCTGGTTTATATTGGCAATAACAGAACACAGAATCCATGATTAACTCAGAATAGCCAAATTTAAGCATATAGCCTGTACCACATTTCAGTCCAAACACAATCTAAAGTTATAAAAAAATTTAAGACTACAATCCTGGCGTGACTCAACAGACAGGAAAAGGCCGGGGAAAAATAACAACTACAGATCTAAACACAGCTCAATTTTGTGCTCACTATAACTCTCAATTAAATAACATTCCTATAATTATTAATACAAGCCTTCTTTTATTATTGAAATAACTGAAAAAATACGATTATCTAAACAACTCTTCTTTCCTACTTTCTTTGTTTATAACACAAGGTAAATAAAAAAAAACTACATGCATATGCAACATTGAAAAGGGTTGATGAGTTTTATAAAGAATAGTTTGCCACTGTTTCATAAAAATACTTTAAAATCTGAACACTTCATATTTTATATATCAAAGGTTTTGAACAGGTCAAGATGTAAATGCACTATAGTTAAACATAATGATTTTGTGAATTTCTCTTCTCTATGTTTTAGAAAACAGGTGGACACAATATAATTTTTTGTTCGGATTTCTTTGTATGTACAGGTATGTTCTAACTTTTGCCTGAATTTAATAAACTTTCCAAAGGATATAATACTGTTAGAAAAAACTCTCCAAATGTTTTATCTATAGAAGTCCCCATTAAAGTCTATGGAATTTTTTGTAGATAAAGCATTTGGAGCGTTTTATAACAGGATTGTATCATTTGGAAAGCTGACCAAATGTAGGCCTTAGTGAGATAACATCCAAATAATGCAATGTAACAAAGTTGACTAATGTAACCCTGTAATGTATTGTAATCACATTTTATTAAAAACAAAACAGTGTGTAATATGAATGGGTGTACTGTACTTAATGATAGAGCGTGAAAATACAATAGAAAAAGCGAAGCAATAGCAAAAATCTTGCAACAGCATCACAAACATATGGAATCTAGATATAAACCTCAACCATTAAAGGGCTAAAGTGGGTTTGACATCTTGCAGGTTTTAATTTTAAATGTATCTTTATTGTCCCTCTACTTCACCTTGTCTTATTTATATTTAAATTCATGTTAGCTTGTTTGGGGTGTGGTATTGGGGGAGGTTGTTCTACCGCATAAGAACTAGTATGGGATACTTTTTCTTCCTGGGAGAGTAATCTATGCCAGCTTGGCAACGGGCGGACTGTCACCTCAAAACAATTTTAATAGCATAATGCTTTCATCAACTTTTGAAAATCAATAGATTTTTTTTTAATTAAGTATATATCATACATTTTTTTTATTTTTTTTAAAAAGATACAAACTAGTCCCTATCTTTGTATGTTACAGGATCCTACAGCTATGTACATACAGTTTGGGTCAGAAAAAACAGACAGTTAATCTCAATGATCTTCCCGTCTTCTCTGCATGGAGTGAAGCAGGGAAGACCATGGAGACTATCGAGTTTCAAATACTGTCTGACCCAATATGCATGTACATGTTTGAAGAATCTTGTCACATACTAAGGGTAGGAATCAGTATTTCTATATTTATTTTTATTTTTTTACATTTACTTTATTTTAAAATGAAAAATGTATTTACTTTCAAGGCTTGATGAAAAGATTATTATATTAAAAACAGTTTTGAAGTGACAGTTGTCCTTTTAAAAAAAGTTCAATTTCAGCTGGTGGGCTAATATACCCATAATCCAATCGTCAAGAAGAACCTCACAGAAGGACAAATGTCAGAAATCATGGACAGAGATGAACAAAATGATACCAGAGGCATCGACAAGGGAGCACTAAGCCCTAAAAGTGAGACCCTATAATCAGGCCTGCCATCAGAAATTTTGGGGCCCCCAGCAAAGCTCAAGGTCTGGGCCCCTGGAGCCCACTCCAGAGTCAGCCCAAGGAGCCCGCCTCTGAGTCCGCCCATAAGGATGCAGTATTGTGTAGTTGATGCAGTGTGTGTAACATGGCCAAAATGTAGATTCCCCACCTGTCGTACAAGTCTCTTAATGGTTTGCCAGCTGACATATTCACAAACACACACACAGACAAAGATATATTGCCACTCGCACCGATACACACACACAGATACACCAACACTGACATACATGCAAATAAACAGACACAGAGTTACACACACTGACAGATACACAGACAAACACACAGATACACATATACACACACTCTAGCCGGGCGAAGTGCCAACCGTTCAGTCCACACCCTGAATGGCACCCCCTTAAGGACCACCCCCTTCTTAGTATGCCACTGCCTATGTGTGTGTGTCTGTCTCTGTCTGTGTGTACCTGTGCATGCTTGTGTGTAACTGTCTGTGCATGCCTGCCTGTGCTTGTGTGTACCTGTTTGTGGATGTATTTAGCTGTCTGTGTCTGTCTATACCTGTGTGTACCTTTGTGTAGCAGTCTGTGCTGGTCTGTGATGGTGGTACCTTAGGAGTCTGTTTGTCTATGCCTGTGTGTATCTTTGCATGCTTGTGTATAGCGGTTTGTGCCTGTAAGTGCCTTTGTATGTGTGCCTGTATCTGTTGGTTCTGGTTGGTGTCCCTATCTGTGTATTCATATCTGTTTGTGTATGTTTCTGTGCGTGCTTGTGAAAGTCTGTGTGTGTCTGCTCACTCGTGTCGATGTGTGTAAATCTGTGTCTGTAAGTAAATGTCAATTGTCCAAGAGACGTGATAATCAATGTAATGTGTGCAGGGATTAGGTGAAGTTTGGAGAGGGGCCAGGGGTGTGGCTTTAGTATGGAGTCACCAAATTATTTTTGGGCTAAAGCCCTGGGTGCTTTTTGACCCAGATAACACCCCTGGGAGGTGGCAAGAAAATTAAATCATGCACAAAGAATAAAACAGAAAATATTAATAATTTCTTGATTATTATGGAACTTTGAAATAACATTGGGAAGAAATTCTGGGAATGTGCAGGGAACAAAAGCTCTGATGACAAAGCCTGGATCTCTAATGCCCTCGTACAGAAGTAAATATGGATTTCAAGTTTAAATCGCACATAGAGGAAGATTCCATGGGCTCAAAAGGTGGAATAGAGAAACTGTGAAGAATTGTAGGAAGGTATTGAGCTGGCACAAACTTTTTAATGGGAGGTATAATTTTTAGAGTGCCTTTCATGAAATATTTAATGGCAGGGTTCACGACGCATTGAACATTAATACTTGTTGAAAAGGCTGACAATAGAACCTTTAATGAGGTGTCTAAACCCTTCTGGAGCATCTCCAGCAGTTTCGGGTCTGGGAGTTTTATGGAGTCTGTATCCTTACCTAGTGATGTTCCCAACTATTTCCCCTTGGGCACCTACCTTTACCCTAACCATTGTTATTTACATATACCTGCACACCATGCCACTTCCTCTCCCCATATTCCTCCCCTGCCCTAGCAACAATGTCTTCTCCTCTTCCCAAGTACCTATATTCATGTAGGAGGAAAGTTACAACTCAGAGTAATTTAACTTCCATGCTCTTTTCGGCTTCCTGGGTCATCCAGACTCCCTGTCTCAATGTGCACAGAATGGGTGCTGTGTAAGTGACACTGAGCTCCCTGAAGAATTGAGGAGCATCAGTTTAGTCAGGGGAGATCATTTCCATTTCCCAGCTGGCCCTTTGGGCACTGCAGAAACCTTCGGCCACTGTGCAGATGGATGGTTAGGGTGTGCCTACTTCCACTGAGCGGTTTAGACAAGAGACTGAGTCTCAAAAAGATGTCTTACAGAAAAACTCAAAAATCACTCTGGCAGCTATTAAGGATTTAAACACTGCTTTAATACACTTATAGGCCCAATACAGCACTTTATACTAAATATGGAAAGTCATAGTTCAACTCTGCAAATTTTAAGGATGTTTAAAACAAAAAAAATAAAAAATAAATTACATGGAAGCAAATGTACACCAAAGCAATATTTGTGGGTCCTTTCTACACATGTCTTACTTGGGAGGGACCCATTAAAAAGTGACTTATTTAAAAAATAATCTTAAAGTCAACTATTAACAAACATAAATTACTACATTGATCGACACGGATAATAACCAGTTCAAGTTAATTTAAGTGGAAAAATAGCCTACTTGCTGAAACAAGTGTAGAAAGTCAGTCATGCAAAAAACAACAACTTGAGATCAATTTCTACAATTAATCACTCAAGCTGGCATTGGAAGTTCTAGAGACTTGAAAAATGGTCTACACATTAAATCAGCATTTCTCAACATTCCCAGTACACGTATCGCTGTATCTGAAAAAAGTACGTTTTTGTCCTCCACAAAACAAACACACACATCATTTGATGCAGGTACACTTTTCCCATAGTAATAATACAAAAGGAAAAATGGGAGAAGTGCAAAACATAAAAATATCTAGATAACAAAAAGAGAAAATACTTATTTCACTATTAATACTTAGGATCTCATTTTATTTGGCATTCCCAATAGATAGTTTTGGTTTTATCTCATGTTTCAGTCTGGCCGACATTTTTATGTACTTTTTCCCCTATTTTTAAGTTTTTATTGACTCAATAAGTTATATATTAGACCCTCTTTTCTTGGACTGGAAATTTGGTTTATGTGTTTTCATTACATGTTAATTTAATATTAGGGTTCACCCCCCACTCATTAATCCCTGGTCGACACACCTTATACTTTATTTAAAAACAAATCTATTGCACATTGTGTAAAAAAAATAATAATATATATATATATAATGACATGCTCTGATGGAATTTCTATGCCATTGATTTTTATTGCCAAATAATATTCTCAATATGAATTCATGCATTGAAGAAGAAAAAAATGAATAAAATAAAATATTTCTAAAAACAAACAAAAGTAACAATAAAATTCTTAGAATACCTTGCACAATTTATGTAAAAATAAGCAAAGAAATATGTAGCATGTGTGCTCAGCTACGTCTTCAAATTACCTCACCCTTACAGGTTTCAATATTCCTGACTTTATTTGGTAAATGTCAGGAATATTGAAGTCCAGTACAATATTGATGTTTGAAATTTTCACTTACTTTTCTGAGGCCAAATTACAAAACAGCATATAGTGCAATATATTAAACTATATATATTTATCTAGAAAATTTTCAGATTGCAAAAGCATGACCGGTGCATAGTCGCCATATTGGCAGGTGGAATCAGATCAAAACCCCCACATACCTAACCCAATAAAACACGGACACTAGGGTATATAGGTCAAAATTGTCCACAGCTTTTATTAAATAGTGATAATAAATTAACATAGAAAGAACAGGTCATTGCACCACACCCTGCCATCACATCCGTATCTTTCAGTTAGGTATAAAAGGCAATGACCCCTAAATAAATAACATATAACAGTATTCCAACATGAACATAACTTAAAGTGTCAACATTGCTATTAACCATGGTAGGGGTATACCCGGATACTACCCCACCAGGTTCTGAGCCACCGACAGGGCTCGAAACCTACCAAACTTACCACAAACCATATTCAACCATTTCCATAAACATCCTAATGGGGAGCCTATTTCCTATCCTTCAGCTGCCTATTCCGCCACAAGCTCAAACCCTAAACCCTTAAGCTGTCTGAGCTCTGCCACCCCAAAGCAACAGTGCTTTCTGCAGCCCTCCCTGCCAAACCAGGTTCAGTAGGTCCCAACCCACTGCGGAGAGGTGAACTCCATCTGAATGATAGTAACCGGGCAACCCAACCTCCAACTCTCCATGCTGCACCACCACTCCCCCCAATTTCCTGACAAAACTAACCATCAGGCTATTCACTTTTCCACGGCAGCGATCAATAGCTACCGGATCCCGCGTGTGCCGCCACTGCCGCCGAGGGACAATCTCCAACCACACCAACATGACCCCG